CTTAGTTCTTTTTTTTTTATAAATGTCTATCAAATTTTATTTGTTGGGTCAAAAAGCTTTAAAATGTAATACAAGGCTTCTGTGATATACTGTTTCAATAGCAGTTGAAAAATAATAGAAATACATGTGCACATTTTTTTATAAGCATTTAAAGTTTGATGTTTAACAACATTTATCAAATTAAAAATTAATTTTTTTTTTTTATATATATTAGGCTATGGGCTCAGATGTATTACAATCTATTGTAAAGAAATCTTTAGCAGGAAAAAAACAACCATTCAGTAAGGAAATAAAAGAATTTGCAGTCACTTTACAATATTATTCCCCTCGAGCTTATCTGTATGTAAGGAAAATATTTTCTAATGTTCTTCCCCATCCTCGTACATTAAGGCGCTGGTATATGGTCGTAGATGGGAAGCCAGGCTTTACATCAGAAGCTTTTGAGCAGATAAAGAAAAAAGTTAATTTAGGTCCAGTGTACTGTAATCTTGTAATTGATGAAATGTGTGTCAAGCGACATATTGAAATTGACACGCAGCAAAATATTTATGGTCATGTTAACATGGGAACTGATGCCAAATATAACGAAACTGATGATATACCTGTTGCCAAGAATGCATTAGTCTTTTTAATAGTCGGCTTAAATGGATACTGGAAGTTACCAATAGGATACTTTTTAATAGATGGGTTGAATGGAATTGAACGTGGAAATATTTTAAAACAAGCCATTCACCTAATAACTGAAACTGGTGCTCATTTACATTCGATTACATTTGATGGGGCTCCTGTAAACACATCTATGTGTGAATCATTGGGTACACAATTCAGTACAGGAAAATCATATATAATTAATCCAGTTACCAAAGAAAATATTTATTGCTTTTATGACCCGGCCCATATGATCAAGTTAATTAGAAATGCTTTTGGAGACAAAAAGGTTCTAAAAAATGGTAAAGGTGAGTTAATCAAATGGGAGTATGTTGTTATGTTGTATGAAAAAGAGCAAGAAGAAGGTTTGAGGGCTGCCACAAAATTGACATCTAGGCATATATTTTTTCACAATGAAAAAATGAATGTTAGATTAGCCTCACAGTTACTTAGTGATAGTGTCGGAGACGCACTGCTTTATATGCAGACAGTTGATGCTAAATTTGAAGGGTGTAAAGCAACTGCAGAATTCTGCAAAATAATCAACAATGCATTCGACATTTTGAATAGTAGAAAGTTATATTCAAAGAAGCCATACAACTGTGCAATTAATAATGATAACTTTGAAAAATATCAACTTTTTACTATGGAATTTCAAAAATATATCAATGATCTGAAATTTGAAGATGGAACAAATGTTATTGATTCTAAGCGTAAGACAGGTTTCAAAGGAATTGCTATGGGTTTACAAAGTGCTCTTGACTTATTCAAATTGTTAATTTCTAAAAATCATATGACATTTTTCATAACATATAAGATAAGTCAGGATCATTTAGAAACTTTTTTCAGTGCAGTACGTAGTAAAGGTGGGTACAATGACAACCCAACATGTCGCCAATTTCAGGCAGCGTACAAACGGTTATTGGTGCACAACAGTATAATGGGTTCAGTGTATGGCAACTGTTCTATTTTAGATAACACTAATATAGAAGCTGTAAGTGGTAACAAATTATCTAATGAAAATGAAGAAGAGTTAAATTTTAATTTTAACTGGCAAATTGAAAAGCCTTTGCTCCATCATGACTATTTCGAGAATGTACAACACTTGAATCCGTACATTGAAGATGTTTGTGTTTACATTGCTGGATTTGTAACAATGAAAGCAACTCAAAAAATAGCATGTACATCTTGTACATCACATTTATTGGCGACAACTCAAAACAGCAAATTAGCGACCGTTAAGGATAGAGGGTCTCTAATAAAACCCAGTATGGATGTCCAGACAGTGTGCATAGTTACTGAACAAGTCTTCAGGGAATATAACTATGGTATAATGAATAAAACAAAAACAAAAGCTTTTGTTTTAAACAAAGTAAAAACTAACCTATATAGTAAATTTTCCATATTTAACAATATGTCTTGCGTAAATTATGAAAACTGTTTATTCGATAAAACCCATCAATTTGACAGCCATAGAGACCAATTAATACATTTACTTTCGGATATATACTACAAAATACGTTTGTTTCACGAAATAAGGAAATCTAATGACAAAACAACTTTAAGAACAAAGCTCACAAAAATAATTCACTTTAGACATGAGTAACCAAATAATCTGAATATTATACTGTTAAGTGTTAAGTGTTAATTAATATTTTGAAATATTGTTAATTTTTGTTAAAAAGGTTTGAGAATTAATAACGTAATAAAAATAATAATAAATAAAAGAACTTCTATTATCTATGATTAAATTCTTATCTATCTATCGCCACTTATAACCTCAAATAATATTTTCCTATTAATTCCCGTGTGATAAGGGTGCATGGCCTATCCATTCTTCTATTATCTATGTGCGTGGTAGTCAATGTTTTTGTTTGTTATCACTTTATCAATTCGAATTTATCATCATATTATTGTACAGATATTATATCAATAATTTATTGCATACATCTTTGTATTATATACAGTCAATTATTGCTAATATAATTTTCATTTTTCATAAAAAAAATTGTTTTATGTGATTTTTAAGTACTTAATTAAATATGCCGCAGAACATTTCTTTTTGCTTCTAACTGATAACTTGAAAAACATAAATATACCAAATTTAGAAAATAAAATAATTGCACTTGTCAATAATAAATTTGTGCTTGATCGTAATATATTTAAGACACTTAATTGTGAAAATGTATTATAATTTATATTGGTCGAGTACCCACTTATAGTTTTTACCTGGTTATACTTGTTTAATCTCTTTTCCGTGGTTCATACATTTATATAATATTATATATTATATAGTTATATATTTGTTATACTACTTATACTTATACGTACTTAACAATTTTATTTTATATTTAAATAAATTACTTATTAATTATTATTAGTAATAAGTAATAACAATTTAATTTAATATATTGTATTTCATAGTGATAAGAAATGATAACAATAATTAATGTAAACATTGACTACCACGCATATGGCGGTTGACTTCCGACTGTTACCATAGTTAGCTATCTAGTTATTGTATATATCTGTGGTTAAAACTGCATGATTATACATTCACGCCGAATTATCATTATGGTATAGACCGGGTAAACATACATACCACGAATTAAAATATACTGGATACCCAACGACCTATATGAACAACTATTTTTCTTGGACCCAAACTGACTTGTCAGAACAGCTGTTGCAAACTACACCTAGCGCTTGTTATCATATTTGTGGCAACTTTTACAAAATAATTTACCGCCAAATTTGTAAATATTTGGAATTAAATAAATTACCATGACAAAATAGATTCGTCAATTCGTCATGTTAATTACTATCATTGGACATTGTTTAGAACCAAGAATTAAAATAGATGTTTATCTTAATTCGTGTTTATAACTGTAATAGATTTCCCATTTTGGCCATTTTTCATTAATTCAAAATATTTTTTTGTTTGAGCATGATAATTAAATAACACTATTATTTACCTTATTTACCTACTTCAAATAGGTACATTGCTAAACGATTGGTAAAGAGTACTAAGTGCCAGTTATGTATAGTAAGTATAAAAAATTTAAATACTTTGTCGGTAGTGAAGCTGATTTACTTAATAATAAAACTAGAGGATACCTAACTCATCCAGATCGAAATTTATACTTAATACTAAAACATCTTGAAACATGTTTTTCAAAACATGCCACTTCTTGTGATGTGTTTGAAGATACATATAATGAATTTTTTAGCTTGAATATTGGTTTAAAGTTTCCTTGCTTAGAACATCAAGCTGATATATTAACAAATATTTTTTCATATTATATAACTATGAGAATGAGGCAGTATTCTTACTTTATGAATCAAAACTCAAAAAAACAAAGTAAAACAAAAAAAAATTATCCAAATTAGTTAAAACATGATTTGTTGACTAATTTAATTGAAGTTTCAACTGTATAGGTATGTAATTAATAATTTTGTAAGTATTTTGTGCAATTTGTATTGGGTATCTATATTAATAAATATGTAAAATTATATGTACTATGTAATAAAAAAGATGTAATTGATATTCATTAAATAATTAAATGTGTATTTTTCTTTTACTAGGTACCTATTGTTCTATGCTATTAGTTAATACTACTTACCTTCCACTTAACACTTTATTAATCTATTTTGTCATAGTAGAATATTGAATAATTAGAAATTAGAATGGTACCTATTAATTATTATATTGCAGACTACAGTAGTCAGTAATAAGGAAATGCTTGAATGTTTTAAATTAATCATTCGAAAAAATCATCATATTATTTGTTATTTATACTTTATGCATAATAATATAATATTTTAAATTTTAAATAGTCAATCCATTAGTATACATTTAATTCCGTTGGAGCGCTAGTGCACCTTTGCACATTGAAAGTCAGTTTAGGAGCGTCTTATCATGTATCGTTGGGTATCCAGTATATTTTAATTCGTGATACATACATTCTTCTATTATCTATGTACTCAATATTGTGGTTGTATGTGGTTCTTCCAGTGATTTTTTTTCTTCCTACTTTCGTTATCACAGAGTGCGGCTGATAACAACAGTACAAAGTATAAACAACGAAATTGTTCCGAAAAAGTTAAAAGACCAAACGAAAACAAGACTGACACAACGACAGAGTATAGCATAGCTGTTGCACTACAGTAACACTGAACTCATAGACAATAAACCTTAATTATTATTATTAATTATTACACGTCGAGCAAATTCGGAAACTACGTATATTTTTTAACGTCGTCATTATGTTCCCAAACGGCTTTTGTCTTTTTTAAATTTTATTAATACCAAATACAGACGACAGATTTGCATATTTAGCCGAGGAGACACGATGATCACTAAATTCATTTTGGCATATTTGGCTATGAACACCGTTGTCACTAGCAATGCGGATGAGTTCAAATGCAAGAAGTTTGCCGACGGATCGGTCTATCCATCCAGCACCATTGAATCTACCAATCACAAATTGCAGTACACCAAAGCATTGAGTAAGTAATAAGTAATAACTGTTATTCTATGTAGTTGTGTACATCCATACATGACTGACCTTAGGTCATGCCGACTAATATGAGTATTATGACTGTTTTTAAAGGCTCTCTTTGTTTTTAGTATCAAAACCAGCTCCCGATTGGAAGAGCACAGCCGTCATTAATGGCTCGTTGCAGGAGCTGAAGCTAAAAGATTTTCGTGGGAAGTATTTAGTATTCTTCTTTTACCCATTGGACTTGTAAGTATTAACCTTGGACCCTGCACCTTCTTCGACTACCTAGTAATGATTTACATTGTTTTGCAGCACATTTGTTTGTCCAACAGAAATATTAGCTTTCAATGACCGTATTGAGGAGTTTAGGAGGATCGATGCCAATGTTGTTGCTGCATCAGTGGACTCACATTTTACACATTTGGCTTGGGTAAACACACCGCGAAAGGATGGTGGTTTGGGTAACTTGTCAATCCCCTTATTGTCTGACATGACTCATAAAATATCCAAAGATTATGGTGTTTATTTGAGCGATGTTGGTCATTCCCTGAGGTATTATCTAGGTGTAAAGCACTGTTGACAACAAAGTTATTTATTTATTTTTGTTTGTTTCCATTTGTTCTAGGGGACTGTTTATTATAGACAATAGAGGTATTCTCCGACAAATCACAATGAATGACTTGCCAGTCGGTCGAAGTGTAGATGAAACTCTAAGACTAGTACAAGCATTTCAATATACAGATATGCACGGAGAAGTATGTCCTGCTAATTGGAAACCTGGAGAACAAACGGTAATATCAATGATTTATTATGATTATAGAATAGCTGAAATCTATTTCAATTTATATTTTTGATAATTCAAACATTTATTTTGAAATCAGAAACATATAAAAGAATCTTGATTAATTTTGTTTCCAACTATAATATTATCTTTCAGGATATACTTTTAGGCTAAAAGTATATTCTGAAAGATAAGTTTTAGGGCACATTTTAATTTAATTTGTTTTAACAAAAATAAAATAAGTTCTTTTGAACTTGCAAATTGTGTAAATATTTTATCAATTTTATAAACTAGTAATTTTGATTTAAATCTTGTGGTTATTTTTGTTAAATAATAATTTTTTTATCTTAGTAAAATGTAAGATTTGACTGTACATTTTGTTTAAACTGAATATTCCTTATCAGTCATCATAGGTATTCAAAAATATTGTTTAAAAAAAAAACAAAAACCACCCACCCTAAATATGCTGATACAAGATAATATATATTTGTACATGTAGTACTTGCAAAATATTTCAATGATTAAAAAAATAAAAAATTGCCATCTGCAATTTTATGTGCTTTTTGTTGTTGAACATTTTTACTAGCAAATGTAAATTCAAACATTATTAGTAAATTAATTTATACAATTTGTATGTTTCAGATAATTCCTGACCCTATTAAGAAGAAAGAATATTTTGATAGACTGATCGAATTATAACCCACCTGTGTGCAGATCTCTTAATTGCCAAAACATAATTATTTATAACTTATAAAGCATCACAAAGACACAAACATATAAACATTAAATAATATTTTTTTTTATTTCAACACAATGTTTTATTTTTATTAAAATATGTCAATTTCTCACCAAGTATTGATGATAGAAATAATACACACTGACATTTCATGACACATACATATATTATATTTTGTAAGTATAAAAATGCATTTATTTACACAATAACATAGCATTTATAGCGTCTACAGTATAATAATATAATATAATAAATAGAAACATTACTAGTAACATATTATCAAAATACCGTTAATTCGATAGTTGCATACATTTTTAATGGATACACGTAAAATCGATTCGAGTACAACATCAATTAATATTATATTATTATAACACACAATAATAGTGTACAATAAAATGTATATAATATTATATTATCCAGTGTAGTTAGGTAAGTATGTGAAAATATTGGTAACACACGACTGTGTATTATAATTCCTATATTCCAATGGCATTAAACGTCAACCAATGTGGTATAAAAAAAAAAACTATAACAAGGAGTGGGACAATAATGAAATCGGATTTTTGTTAACACATAATACATAATAATATATTACCCACGCACACATTTCAATTTCCATTCAAATCGATAGTGTCGTTATATTTACATCTCACCAACGTAATTCGGATCTCGGTAATGGCTTGCGTATTTTAACAACACACATGTAAATGAATTAGCTATCGATAATTAACAACAAACCTAAAATCTAATATAATATATATACGAATATATGATACTATTAGATACTAATAAGTAATAATCTTTGTACACCGTTTGTACGATTATATAATATATAAATTAATAACAACAAAAAAAATTGACATTCATTATAATACTTATAATATTATGCTCTTTCAATGATAGAATATGTACCGTGCACTACCTAACCTGATGATGTCTCCGCAGACTATTCATTAAACATCAAATAGTCACGTGACGAGTAGTTACATCGATTCGCGACGACGCTATGCCGATTAATTTATTGTTAAAAATGTATATAATAAAATATAATTGTTGCACTTACAGAATATTTTTTTTTTAAAGTTAAACATTATATAAAAGCTACAATATTAATACAAGTACTTAGTAACACTAACCTAATAATATAATAATAATAATAAAAATAATACATCGAGTGAATGAAAAATAATCGTTGAAAATGCTTCGATTCATGAGATCAGAGAGAGAGAGAGAGAGGGAGGAAGTGAGCGATAATAAGGAGGCGGGAGATGGATTTCGACTTTCGAGTAACCTAAAGAATACTTGAAAATAATGTGTCGACCCGTCGTTTTTCGTCATCCGAGTCGTGGACCACTGCTAAAGCATGCCCGGCCGGCCAACACGATATCCATACAACAACATCGTCTCACATTGCCCGAGTCGTCGTGGACTTGGCGTATACAATAGCAAGTCATTGATATATTATGAGCTTCTTAATGTCATCGACTCCAAAAACTTGGCCACCACCGAGAGAGGTCAACGAACTCCTGCAGTGGCGTGTCGAAGGTATTATTTTGGAGCCATTGCTCCTTCAAAATTGTTGGCTGGTGGGTTGCCCCCCCCCCCTGCCACAAAATACCTAGTCACCTAGGTATACATTTTTGCTCCTCACCAAAAATGAGTTCAACACGCCACTGATGGACTCTTCGCCGGACTTGTAACTCTTAAGTTACTCAACCGACATACACGATGTTACAGGTGTGTATGATTATTTTTTCGTTGAAAGTCCTGCAGAGGGGTGGCAAATTTTTTCTTACGCACAAAACACGCGAATCGTTAATTTCCGTTTTTTTGCACACTCTGTCGTCATCGGCTCGCGTCGGTAAAACACTGTTTGTTTCTCTTAAAACCGAGTCACCGGAAGCCGATATACCGAATTATATATTAGCCACATAATAACATTATAATTTGCCGTCGACTTTAATATTGATATACCGTCCGTTTTTGTCCAGCGTCGACCGACCCGTATGACCCATCCTACAAAATTCGAATTAATTTTTTTCTCGCAATCTCTCGGGTTGGCGAATTCGACGATATAGGCAGCATTATCGTGACGCACGCCTTCGGTATTACAATATTATATTCAGCTCCTCCTCGCTTATCATCCGGAACGGAAACGGATGTTACGCGCCTGTCACCGCCGCCATTTAAATCGGGATATTAATATAATATTTTACACGTCGGTGGCCGCAGCAGCAGATGTACCAAACTGCTGCGATATTATTATACCTAACAAACGTCTTAGGTGATGCGTGAAGGCGACGACGACGACGACGGCTTTGGTCGTGGTAACAAACCGATATCGGTAAGGATATGAATGTGGAGGAGGGGTTGGGGAGAGGGTCGTGGTTGGCGGGTCTCGAGACGAATTTTTTTAATTTTTTTTTTTTATATTTTTCAAATTTTCGATTTTTTCTCTCTTGTTCGCGTACGTGTTCACAGCGTGAGCGTCGTGTTCGGAGCGCCCGCAGCGGTGGCCGTGTCGGCGGACGCCCACGCGGGTCATATGCTCAGCGACGGCCGCTTCTTCCGGTCCCGCTTGCTGCTGTTCTTGCCGAATATCGTGCCCAGCACCTTGGACACGCTGTTCACGCCCAGCTTGCGCCTGATCGGCAACCCGCGGAGCAGCTGCACCGCCCGAGTCTCGCGCAACAGCGAGTGGAATGCCAGCGACACGCCCGCGAAGTTCTCGGCCGCGCTCACCTCGTAGAACTGACAGCCGAACCGCAGCGACAGCTCTTGTCCCGCGTCCACGGCCACTAGCCTGCAACAATCGAGTGCGATTTTTAGTTATGCGTATAATTATATATTATATTGTATATTGTAATAATATTTACTGTATATATATTACGTAGGTATATAGGTATAGGTTAGGTTAGGTATACTTGTGATATATGGACTATTTTATAATATAATACTAAGTATAATCGTACGCGATACCTGTAATATAATATATACCAGTGTCGTATACAAGGGGGCGTGGGGGTCAGATCCCCTCCCAATGGAGTGTATAATCTTCCATATTGTGTTTGATGTGAATTTTGAATCAATTCAAATTACATTCGTTGTTCCTTATTGTTGAATATTTTACTACCCAAGTAAACAGTTTTGAGAGGGTGGGGGATTTTCCAATTTTCCCCTTTCATTTAGCTATGTCGTTTTCTTTTTTTGATCCAACCCTCCTTTTAGAAATCATGTCTACGCCACTGATATATAGTATAAGGTGTTTAGTGGGGTAATAACGCTTATATTATACTATATAATTAGTGTCCCTTTATTTTAACCAGTTCATTAAGTGGACGTAGGTAACACTGGTATTTGTTGACTCCGTCTTACCAGTGCGTAACATACCAAATTTACGCTCAGCAGAACACTCGTAGCTTCGTCAGTTTAAACTTTAGAGTGAGTTGACCTATTATGAAACTTGATGGCAAGAACATTATCTGTGTTTGTACGTTGGTTTTTTACGATAATTCAGTTTTTAAGTGAGATATGAGCATTTTTAATTCACGGTATATTATATACGGATAAACAATTGCTAAACAATTGAACTATCGTATAAAACCAACAAACAACATACACAGATAATATGATTACCATCAAGATTTATAATAGGTCAATTCACTCTAATTTTTAAACTAACGAAGCTACAAGTGTTTTGTTGAGCGTACATTTGCTATGTTAAGCACTTGTAAGACGGAGACAACAAATGTGTTGACAACAAAGTGTTACGTCCTCTTAATACACAAAAGAACTTGATAACGTCTTAATATTAAGTTAATTAGTTATAGTGCCTATATATGGCTCAGCTGTATATTTTCAAATAATGCGTTAGTTGAGTTAACATCTATACTCTATAGGTAACTATAATGTTATAGCATCACATTATCTATATCAGGGGCTAATACAAAACATTTAATTTAATATTTTATGTGTGCAGTGTTTGAACCATATAGACTATACGGACATATTGAAATATATACGAACTACGCTTCTTACATAACCTGCCATATGTTGCTTAGTGTTAATAACTGTTAGAAACATCAGCCAATACCTGAGCACAAAATCCCACCAAGGTATTCTATATATGTATACAAATTATTACGTGTGACCAAGGTGGTAATTAGAAAACATTAAGTTCATTAATAATTTTTAACTAAAATACCGGTCATGTTTTTATGGTGGTTAAAAGTAGTTGTACTACTGCAGATGTATTTAGAATAGATATTATAAATTATAATAAGCAACAGGCAAAATAGATATAAATATTTTTTTATAATTCAAATGGGAAAATATTTTGTTCAACGGGGTTGCCGGTATTCGAACAAGAACGTATAAAGTATAAATTTTAAAGTATTTTAAATTAAAAGTTTTTAATTGTTTATTTCTGAATTTATTTACCCTAAGAATAAAATATTTAAATTTGAAAAACGTGTAATGAATCGTTACAGAATCTTTTCTTTTAAGAAGACAGTAGCACATTCTAATAGTTTTTAGTATATTTTATATCATTCAATTTTAAGTTATACGATAGTAAAATCAAGATCACGCGGCGTTCCGGATAGGCTATTCAGGTACACCACTGTCGTGACTCGTGACTCCATTTCCCTGTATGTTATATAAGCGTACGGCTGATTAAAATACATGGAAGTACAAGCATTATAATTGAATTATGTAAGCAAAGAGATGTTGGTATAATACAATATTCTTTAAAGACTAAATTCAATTATTAATAGGTAACTAATAATGATATGCAAATTACCAGGAATATAAGTACCTCCTATGCATACTTATGAAGAAGTTTAAACGGTCTTATGGCTAAATCGTAATTTTATTAAAAACGTCTATACACAATAATGACTGCATTCTAATTTCTAATATATGAAATTATATACATATATTTTTAATGTTCATCCAGAAT